AAACCGCCATCTTTGATTTGTTCTCCCATGCTACGGCCTTTGTACTTCAATAGTTCATTGCTGTAACCGAGAGTTTTATCCCGGTACCTTATCGGCTGGGTATTAGCTAAAATAACACTTGCTCGTATGTAAGGAGGTTCCGTACCATTAAATAGTAAGGTAAACTAAAATATTTCCATTCCATTTATTTTTCCATTGACAAACCGATCACAGATTCCATTCCTTTTCTTTTGCATACGACATTCCCCTTTTACATACGACAAATACGGGCCTAAGAGAGGTAAGGCATAGCAGATTTGCCGCTCGAATTGGAGCGCCCGTTTGGGGAAGTAAGCTTCGCTTTACAGAAGACCTCAGAAAAATAATATATCCTTTTGGTGGTGTTGTGTTTCGGTCGTTGAGTAAGAATCTAGAGCTCCACAGGGTAGGAGATTGGGTCAATGTAGGCAACGGCGCAAGTGATATTTTTGGTATCGCAAGCGTCTATTCTATAGGCTATAGTGGCAGCACACCATCACGAGAACCATAGCCTTCTTTGCACCCTTTCAATTAAAAAAAACTGATATGGGAAATTCAGATGGGACAGACATCATCACCTGCTTTACCTACTTACAGCAGAAACACAACACTAATTATTCGCCGTAATAACAGGCGCGGTCGCAGCATGAAATTTTGGAGGGGGTCACTCACTACACTAATAAAAAAAACCGGTCAAGTGCGAGTCAAACTCGCGCACCGACGGTTCCGTACACACCTAAATTTTTCAAAAATATTTTTTATTATATGATGTTACTAAAAATTTACGGTTTTCGCAATTTTTCCTTTATCTGTACTATAAGACCTTACTTTGTACCAAATTTCAAGATTCTAAGTTCACGGGAAGTACTCTGTAGGTTTTGATTCCCGTGCGAGTTTCCAAATTGCGGCATAAACGGCTGTATCTTTTGATTGCTTTGGCTTAGAAGTTTGATTTTTTCACAGCTTCAAGGGACAGTACCTGAGTATTATGAATTACGTTTCATACCTCCACGCGTTCCTGAGAAAAACGGTCTTGACAGACGGACGGACGGACAACAAAGTAATCCTATAAGGGTTCCGTTTTTTCCTTTTGGGCTTCGGAATCCTAAAAATAGGTATCTCGAATAATATAAACATTATTGCACAAGACACAATTTTATTTTATACATTACTTACTTATAAAACAAAGTGGATGTCGTCTTTTTTTTGTATTTGCGAATCGTTTGATAATATTTGAGACGTCTGGTACTATTTCCGGGTGAATGTTTAGAAGAGCTAAATCTGTTAATCGCTCTTCTAACATGTTAGCTCTCAACCACGTTTTTGACTAAGTAGACAGCCTTTGTCTTGAATTTTAACAATAAACCGACAAATAACATTATTAGAATATTGTTATACAATCTTTATCATAACGACGCATATAGATTTTGCTAGGATTACCAAAACTGCGTAGTTCGGTTCCTTGTTTCAAAATGTCATTTCCAAGTTATTTTGGCCATCGTATGTAGTTCATAAAAACACCACTAGATGTCAGCAAACTATAAATGTATCGCTGTTAGGAGATAGATAGATATTTCCTTTTATTATATAGCAAATTTTTGAGAATTTTCAATTTGACCTTAGATTTTAGGGGGGGTCATGTCGCCTGTAACCTTCGGACCGCGCCTGCGTAATAAAGTAACGATTCTCTGCGAAGCTGAAGATACTTTACCAAGCATGCGATCCAATTCAAGTGATAAACAGAAATCATTGTCATTGCCTACCTAAGGTACATACAGTACAGCTCTAATTAACTCACCATACCAGCACAACACACACTCGGAGGGGGGGGTCTGTTAATTGTACCACATCAATCAATAAATTTATAGTATAAAGACATTCCCTAAGTGTTCCACAGTCAGGATTAGACCGAATATGCACTGCCGGATTTAGGGGAGGGCAACCGGGGCGAAAGCCCCGGGGCCTCCACAAACGGGGGGCCCCCACAAAAGAGACTTCGGAAACAAAAATCTTTTAAATTCCAACTAGTAAACACTAGTAAACATCTTATCCATTGATATTTTTTTTTGCTCTTTTACCTACAGCCTACAGTACTTTGTACATCTAACATACATGATTATTTGATTATATTAATCTCAGGGCCGAATTAAAGGCAGGGCAGGTGGGGCTGTGGCCCAGGGGCCTCCACAACAGCTTAAGAAATAACAAAATTTCGATGGGTCAACAAGCATGCAAATCCTAAGTGGCCCGGGGCCTCCACAACAGGATAAAAGATAACAAAAATTCGAGGGGTGTCAACAAGCATACAAATCCTAAGTGGCCCGGGGCCTCCACAATCCTAAATCCGGCCCTGCGAATATGATTACCATTGGTTTTTGTTCGTAGGAAAGGCTCTATTATTTCCAGCAACATGATGGTGCAATGTCCAGCACTCATCAGAGCCATCCAGCCCTCGACCAACATTAGTGCGATGTAACTGTTGATAGGATAGATGGCCTACGGGTGGACATCGCGTGGTCTACTGAGGACGCGTGCCTTATAGAATACGATCAACACAAGCCTGCGAGCAGTTCTGCTAGTTGTTACCGAAAGGACCACTCGCCATCGAGCGTGGACAGCTTGCGTCCGAGGTGACCCAGAGTTGATGTGATGAGCGCAGTTTATATTAAGACTTCTAACCTAGCGAGGCGAGTTCGGGTGCTGGAGGGTTTTAAGGGCGCTTGTTAGGGAGACGATTTCTGCTACTCGGGTCTAGGCACGGTTTTAAACTGTGTCTACGCCCGGTCGTTAGTTAGATATGAGAGTATGAGACACAGACGCTAGCGAGGTTAAGTTGGTACAAACGCACATACCGTATTTGAGAACAAGCTTTGCCGGCATACGGCCCGGGTAGAAATCGTCTTATAAACAAACGCCCTAACATAAGCGATGACCTTAAACACGGAGGTTAAGCAACTTTCGTAAGTGCACAAAACCAAGGTTACTGTAAGGGTAAATAATATGGACATGGGCGTAGCTAAGTCAACTGGGCGGCTGCCCTCTTAGGAAAAATCCCTAGCTAAGCCAATTTATAGGAATCATTCAGGGCTGGTATAAGGCAAGGCAGGTGGGGCTGTGGACCAGGTGGACCCCACATCTGAGAAATAATATTATACCCAATGCACAATGCATTGGTGAGTTACAGTGCACTCTCATGTTTTATCCATAACAATGATCTAAGCCCCAGTACTGAGATATAAATTTCAAACCAAGCCAACCAGTTCAATGATGGAATATTATTTATTCACAAATATAAGAAGGGGACCCCATGAGTTGTCCATACTCATAAAATCCCTAGTACTGTTTGAACTAAATAATTTTAACCCACTTACTTGACAGAACCTTTGTTTTTGCTCCATGGATAGAACGGATTTCAGTAATTAAAATAATACTCAGAGGTGCCAGTGGGAATATGAAAATGGATCTAGCTTGTTAAACAGCCATCAATAATATAGGTACATATAATGATTTCGGTACGATAATCAACAAACTCATTGTGAAACAGTCAAATGAGGAACATGTGAATTGTATCTTTTACATAATTATGAAACTACATCATTGACAACTGTTAACAATGTTTCACAATTGAAAATACTTAAAAAGAGATATAGATTAAGAGTTACCAGAGCAAGGGTCAAACAAGATAAGATATAAAATGAATGTAACTCATATTTTTCTAAACAGTAAAATAAAAGGTTAAGGGTACATTAAAAGAAACACATCATTTGAAGCTTTTATTTAATAGTTAATATGAATTGCATTCACATTATAAAATGAGTACACATTTAGTTACAAACAGGAATGTTAGAAGGAATGTTTATGATATTTTGAGAATTCTGTATAAGTGGTATATAAATATATTTATAATTATTGCAGGGTAAGGTACGGTTACTCTTGAAGTATCAATCACCCAATCATGTTCAATATGCTGAAGATATTCATTTTTAAAGCTTAACATGATAACTATGTATGCAGTGGATTATGTATGAAATTGACGTTGAGCCAGCATATTTTTTTGATTGGCAACAATACTCTACAAATACACATATAAAAGAGAGTATATAAGAAAGGTACAAACTTTTAGAGATACAAGTTCGAGGCAGTTTATGAGAAATATTATTCATCATCGAAATAATCGACATGTTCCCCTGGTGAGAACTTGCCATTGAGAAGAACCTTCATACATTTCTTGGCAGTCACTTCAGGTTTCAAAAGAGTACCTTGGTTTTTGAAAGAATTAAATACATCTTTTAGATTGTCATTCACAGCTTCATCAATAACGTAATCAACCATAGCTGTCTCCACTGGCCCAGGAGAATAGTTGAGCACTCTGATATTCTTTTTCTCTTCAGCAAGAACTCTGAAATACATCTCGCGTGCTGCTTTTCCACTACAATAATAGGCCATGCCACCCATAGGCTTGATAGCACACAACGAAGTGATGTTCACAATTATCACTCTATCCTCGACTTCTTCAAATATTTTAAGGAACTGAGTATTAAGTGAAATAACGTTAAAAACATTCAAATCATAATATGTTCTGAATTCTTCAACATTCTCCATACGATCAGTCGCCACAGACAAATTGCCAAGAGAACCAACATTATGGAAAATCAGGCCAGTGTCGAAATCAATCACTTTACGCCCATCCAGGGGTTTGTTAAGTACATTATACATGTCTGACTTAGTAGCCTTTGTTAGATCGATTGCTTCATAAACAACTTTTACATTACTGGATTCACAAAGGGAAGCTGATTTGGCTAACTCTTGTTTGTTGCGTGCCAACAAAAGCATTAGAGACTTGGGACCAAGGAGTTTGGACACCTCGATAGCTAAAGCTCTGCCGATTCCCTGAGATGCTCCGGTCACAACACAATACACAGATCCAGACAGGTCAATATTAGAGAATGATGATGATGATGCCATGTTTACTTACAATACTATCAATTTTCTTTGTCCTGTAACAATTTCTCAGCTTCTGTGTCACCAATCACCGGGTCCAGGTCACACCCGTCGCGCATCAACCGATTGATGCAATCAGCTCTGTAAGCGGACAAATTCTCGACGACTTTATTCTTCGATCTGACTGCCTTCAGTTTTCTCTCTGAAATGAAACGGGAGACCTTTACGTTCTTGTTGTTTGGACGGAAACGAGTGTCAAATTGCGTGGTGTAAAATAATATCACTAGATCGCTGTATCTGCGGTTTAAATTGCGTCACGTTAGCAACATGTTTTGTAAACGATAATGGTTATTGAATGATTATGGAAATTACCTAAAACGGCAAGGTATTCTGCGGAGTCGGAGAGTTTCTCGAAATCCTGGCGAGATGCTGTGAAGTCGTCCTCGAACTTGGATACTACGACGGCAGATTCCACTTCACAGCCCCAAGGATCCATCAACTCTGTGAAGAAAATCAATTCAATTTTTGGTAAGTAAATACTATGTCGATTAAGAAGGCAGACACTACAAAATATGTAAAACTGACTTACTTACGATAAGGCTACAAGCCAACAAGTGAATGGAAAGATGAAATAGGTACCTATTTGTGTATTTTATCGCAAAAAAAACTAATCCATTTATGTGACAGTTCTAAGCTAACCTAACTGCTGTCACTGCTGTCTAGAAGTTGACGTTGACGGAAAGACATGACAATGACAGTGACATTATAAGGGTGCGTTCCAGCTCAGATGGCAACTTTTTACCCGAAGGCCGTTCCAAACCTAAGAGACCTAAAAGTTGGTACGATCAGCCAATTTGATTCCTGACTATAGTTGTAAAAAAAACCCGTTAACTACCGTTACTTAACTAAAATGGTTAGCTACCGATAAAATGCGGTTATTAACGGTAAATTATCCGACTGCCTCAAAGAAAATGGGTATGTAAATAGTCCTTTTATTGCGTAGTCAACAGTGTAGTGAAAAGTCGTTATCCAAAAGATAAAGATACCGATTAAGATATTATAAATCATATTTAAAGCGACCAATATACAAATCCAGTCTTAAATATGAGTAATTTAAGGTAAACTTGAATTATTTACGTAACTAAAATATAGAAAATGATGTCGATTCTGGCGTGATTCTCTAAACTTAAAACTAAATTTATTCGCAGGATCACCGTATCGAACGGTGATCCTGCGAAGGTGTGGTCATTCCTCAAATCACTTGGTATTGGTAAGGTTAACTCATCTTCTTCTTTGAAACTTGATCCCGATTCCTTGAACCTTTACTTCACAACACCTTCTTCCATCCCCTCTTACGTAAAGCTATCCACGCTGCAAAAACTGTCCGCGGATCATTATCCGAAGAGTTCTTCCTTTTCTTTTAGACCCGTGACCGAGTGTGAGGTCGAGCGATGCATTTCGGCTGTAAAGTCCAACGCTGAAGGGTTGGATGGAATTAGCCGGAAAATGATTTTATTAGGTTCTACGACACTTCTTCCTATACTCTGTCACATTTTTAACTTTTCACTTAGCACTGGGTCATTTCCACGCTGCTGGCGTGTTGCAGCTGTTCTTCCCATTCCAAAGTTATCCAATCCAAGTTTACCTTGTCACTTTAGACCTATTTCTATTCTCCCGTTTCTTTCCAAAATCCTTGAGCGACTTGTCCATCACCAGATCAATATATTTGCTAACACTGAAAAGATTCTGAGCCCTCTTCAATCTGGTTTTCGCCCAGCCCATAGTACGGTAACTGCCTTGACAAAGATAACCGATGATATACGCGAAGGTATGTCTGATCAACGTGTGACACTTCTAGTACTTCTAGATTTCAGTAATGCTTTTAACACCGTTGATTTCGACATCCTCTTATCAATGTTGGGGTCGGTCTTTGTGTCGGATGTGGTAGTAGATTGGTTCCGAGATTATCTTGTTGGGCGACAGCAATGTGTCCGTTATGATGACAGGCGCTCTGGGTTTTGTGATGTGGCTGCTGGAGTGCCCCAGGGTGGAGTCCTATCTCCTTTCCTTTTCTCAATTTTTATCAACTTCCTTACTCCTCTCCTTACCTGCCAATACCATTTGTATGCTGATGACCTACAAATTTACCGTCAGGCTCCTGCTGGAGACATAAATAACCTGATTGCACTTGTCCAGGACGACCTCAAGGTCATATACGACTGGAGTTCTGCCTACGGCCTTTTGATCAATCCCAGCAAATCCCAAGTCATCCTCATTGGGGGGTCCAAACAAATTTCCAAGCTGGATGTTGCTAGTCTTCCTCAGCTCCATTTTAATTCTTCTCCTCTGCCGTATTGCAACACCGTTAAAAATCTAGGTGTTATCTTTGACTCCACACTCTCTTGGTCTCCTCATGTTGCTGAGGTCAGTAGGAAAATGTTTGCTGCTGCCAGTTCACTGCGCAGATGGAAAAATCTTCTCCCTATAAAAACCAAAATTGAACTTGCGCAATCACTCCTTTTACCTATTTTGGACTACGCTGATGTTTGTAACATTGACTTAAATGAAGTACTTCTAGACAAACTTCAGCGTCTCCAGAATCTTTGCATTCGTTTCATTTATGGCCTCCGCAAGTTCGACCATGTGTCCGAATTTAGGAGGGAGCTAAAGTGGCTTCCTATTAGACTGCGCCGTGAAGAACATGCTCTCACTTTGCTTTATAATGTGTTGTATGACCCTCGCACTCCCCCTTACCTTAAGGAACGTTTCAAATTTCTAGGTATGGACCACAACCGCATGTTGCGCTCCAAAAATGATAATTTGTTGGAGATCCTTTTAACTCGCTCAGAATATTATAGAGATTCCTTTACAGTCAAAGTGGCTCAACTTTGGAACAAGCTGCCATCTGAAATCCGGAGTTCAAAGTCACTTCCCATATTTAAAAGTAGACTACATACTCTCCTTCTGCTGCGAACTTAGTCTACTTTAACATTACATATGTTGTTAGTATGTAGGTATATATTTATGTTCAATGATATATATTTATATTTGGTATATATGTGTATATGTATATGTAAGTGTATGATAGACAATTACTTATATGTACGTATATTATATTAATTACATATTTACATTTCTTATCGACTCTGCTGGCTTACTACATCTTCTTTTCCGTTTAGCTTACCTATACCGCGAAGGTTGTCTGGAAGAGATCGCTTGCAGCGATAAGACCGCCTTTGCCCATATTATTGTTAAATGTATTCTTTGTACCTATGTCGTTTTGTATGTGAGCAATAAAGTGTTTATTATTATTATTATTATTATTATTATTAAATTTAAGATCACTCTCCTTTCATTCTGTATGTAGAATGACAAGGATACACTGATGTCGATTCTGGTATGATTCTCTAAAGCTAAACTTAAATTTGACAACAGTGCGTCCTTGTCATTCTCTTTACAGAATGAAAAGGAGAGACAGATTGAGGTTAAATTTAGTTTTAAGTTTAGAGAATCACGCCAGAATCAACACCACTGTTGTCAAATTTAAGTTTAGGTTTAGAGAATCATGCCGGAATCGATACCACTAGGTACTTATTTAACATACCTACCTATGTATAGTCCATTCGCTTAGATAGTGTCGGTACACACGCACGCAATTGCTATTATTGTAAATAAATACGAATAAAAGTAATACACACATTAATAATTCATAGTAATTAAAAAAATCAATGTTTTGTTCTAATCACAGTGTATTCATCTTAATTAAACAATAATAATTAACATATATATTTTTTATTTATTTCAAATCTTATATATCTATCAGGCACTTTTAAATTACAATAACATTTTTTTAAATATTATTTTTATTTAATAATATTATTAGTACTTTCTTTAAAAAACCTCTATAATTTTTTGCATTATTTCAAATCTTTCATTGCCTTCGCATTTGTCCAGTTCGTGTGCAATAAACTTGCAAAACATTAGGTTGCTCATCCTTGAATTTTCATTGATTTCAATGGAAAATAGTGATGTTATCATGACTTTGAATTGTTTTTGCAACTTAGGGATTTCAGACCACAGATTAGGTACTAGTTCAGACTGGATGTCGTATTCGACATCAGACCACGCCTGAGCGTTCTGCTCATGTAACTCCGGTACTTCACTCAGGGCCGGATCTACCATATGGCTTATTGGGCTTCAGCCCAGGGCCCCGTTGATTCAAGGGCCCCCCAGCTAAGTCAAGTTTAGTCAAAAATAGACGATAATGCGAAAGAATCCATAATTTTATTAAATTAACCAGATCGTATAGTTTGCAGCCCTGCGAATCCTGCGATTAATTAAACCCATTCAATTCATTTCAAGTCTACTTTCAGGTGTTGGTACTTCGAACTGGCAGTTAAATGTTCCGCTGCCATTACACTTTCATCTCAATCGTGCTCCGCTGTTTCCCTCCCAGACTCTGTCTCTTTCTATCTTGCTAGAATTATTTATAAGTTCCATTTTTTATCATTTTTAATTATTTATAACTAGTAGGATAGAAAGAAATAGAGTTTTGATTTGGAGGAATGTAGCGAATCGTGATCCAGAATGAATGTGTTATGACCGCCTACAGGTTGGTAACCCTGAGCTCCGGGTATGCATTTCTATCAAACGAAAGCGCCCGTACGGTTATTGGCGGTTATTATCGCGATGATGTAGATGAATATTTAGTCAAAGAATGCATACAATTAAAAACTTATTTCCTTCAGTCGACAGAGTCCTACTTGTCTTGCGTAGACATTTTACGATTATTTATGAAAAGAAGCTTGTTGACGTATTCCTGAACTGCTATAAAATGTTTAAAATATATTTAACCTTGCCAATCACAAACAACTTTTCCAGGATGTCATATATACAGAATAAATACAGAACAACGATGTCAAACTTACGACTTAACCATTTAATCGTTTTGTCCATAAATATTGATTTATCTAAGAACCTAGAATGTGAGAAAGAAATTAAAGAATTTGCTAAAGATAAGTGGTTAAAATTTAATAACCGGCTTCGCATCTATATTCTTGACCCACCATAAGCTTATTTTGTAACAACCATTTCAAAACAATAAGGAAGATTTTTGCTTAAAAGTATGTACCTATCCCTGGAATCAAACTTTTTATTTTGTGAATAATCGCATTTAACGTGATAGATTTTAAAAATGATTTCGAAGTTCAAACCAGTATTCCAATTTACTCTATGACATGATCTTTTTCATTAAAAATAGAATTTGATCCATATTAACAGTTTCCTTGTTATAAGAAGGTCCTAAGTGCAATTAATTACACATTCTTTAAAAAGGAAAACTTGTCTGTTTTGTCATTTTTAAGCGGCTTATCGGACAAATGTGAGTTCGATCGTACCTACTATTTTTACCCGACTGTGCAATCCAAGAGTGCGAAGCGCGCAGACAGGATATTATAGTATTTAACATTCTTTATATGTATGTATGTTCCTCTGTGGCACACTAAAGACCAAACGCGTGGACCATATTTTATGATTCATATGTCAACCGATTCGTCTTAATCATGGGAGTGCTACTAAAAACATGATAGTAATCAAAATTCAATATAGGGACAATTAGGTGCCATACTACGAGAAATAAAAAAAACTGAATTTAAACAGTCAGGATTTTAGATTTAAAAAAAAATCGTTTTTTTTTAAATCAGTTATTTATAATAAGAGGGCGCTAAGAAGCTAAAGCGATTATCACACCACCACTGAGTGCGTTATTACGTTGCTTGCAACTCTTGCAAGTACCTCTCTACCATAACTCTCTAACTACGATATTTTCGAAATACGCGTAGCGCAAGTGCAACACTGCAACACACCCAAAACGCTTTCACACGCAGTGTTGCAGCTTTCGCGCCTGCATACGTTTTCCTCTGCACCCACGTACGGGAGTGCTGAGCAAAACGCAAGGTATGGCATACTGAGCAGTATGCAGTATGGTGCGTGATTTTAAAAAATAATTGAAAATCTATTTTTTCTCTGTATTCTTTTAAATATTCTCTTTAAATCTAAGTAATTCTGAACAAATGACTCATTTAACGATGTTATTCGTATAAAGGAATGCACAGTGCGGCCAAGATCTTTGAATGTGCCGAAAATTGTTTTTAATACATAAGTTGAATGACTATTACTCTTAAACCAACAATTCTATTTGAACCGTTATAATTTTTCTTAAAAGATCATGTAAATCACTGATATCATGAATTTTTCCAGATTTTTCAAGCCAATAGTTTAACTTTAATGTGTAGGAGGGACGCCCTACTTGAACAAAAATTTGAAGTCGAAAAATAGTCTCAGCAAACCTTAAGTCATTATAATGGACCCATTCGTCTCCAAGCTAAGCTTCGTCCGCCCGTCCCCGATAGACAGACGGACATGACCACAAGGATAAGGGTCCCGTAGTCCTGACAAGTTCCTTGTCAGTATAACCCTAAAAGAAGAAGAGTATTTTCGCAAAAAAGAAGTATCTTTGACGTATATTTGTAATTTTAACGATCTTCCGTGGCCGAGTGATTTGTACGCAGGTGTCGCCTACTCGAGAGGTCCCCCCGGGTTCGAGTCCCGGTGGGGGCAGATGTTTGTGTGATGAATACGAGCATTTGAACACCAGTCATGGATGTTTAATATTGTATTGTTTTATAAAACTTATTATATTTAGCAGCAATGTATTCTATCCGTTACCCAAGTACCCATAACACAAGCCTACAGTGCTTACTTTGAGGCTAAGCTAATTGGTAACACTCACAGTGTTGGAACTATTTATTATTTATTTATTTATTGTAGGAAAACCAATAGCTATTAAATCACAAAAAATATTTAAAATAAGAAACAGTAAGCCAACTACAGGTTTGCACAGACAGATTTATTAATTTATCTTCAAAATTCGCTTTACGTTATATATTATTAATAAAAGGACATGGTAAAGTTTTGTATGGGCGACTGCCCTGACAATGTATAAATACTGTACTTAGTAATATTTAATGGTAAATGGCTGTATATTCATAATTTCTATGAAAAAAGACTCGGGAACTTTTAATAAAGTCACAATCTTGAAAATTATAAGAACTACTACTATGTCATTACCTTACTATAGTTAAAAAAAGATGTTGCTAATTATTTACAGTCATTAATTTCGCAAATTTAAATCTTTCTTCCCATTTCTCTGATTAACTCTTCACAAAAAGTTTTTTTTTTAAATAAATACAAATAAATAATTAGTTGTCTCCCTTACAGGAAATCTGTGAAGTTTTATTTTGTCCATTTGCATAAATTAAAGGATTAATTATCATACAGCCTTGTCTCAAGCCTGATCAGAATAATAAAATCTATTATTTTAGGCCTTCAGTGATTTATTATAATTAAAATTAGGGTCAAATATGTCATAGTTTGAAGGAGTTTAGAAATAATATTGTTTATTTCGATATACTTATAAAAATATTTTTTGTATACATTGTATACAAAGTATGCTCAACACTAAAAATATGGTTTTTTATGAAAAAGATTAAAAAAATACCGACAAAATATTGCGTTTAAAATATCACTAGACTCAATAGTAATGGAGTTAATTAATGGAGTTAGCTTGTTAAAGGTTGGTTCTTCTTCGTCAAACGCCAAAATCGAAACTTTAAACGTGATATATTAAAAAAAAACGGGTGCGTGTACTTATGTAGGCGCGTGAGAAGTTATCCTTCTTTGGCATCGTTTAAAATTAGTTTTTAATTGCATGCAAATAATTAATTACAATAAATTAATAAAAAGTCTGGAAAAGGACACAGTCAATAAAGTTCAGTTTTAATTTGAAAAAAAAAATGGGTGCGTGTACTTATGTAGGCGCGTGAGAAGTTATCCTTCTTTGGCATCGTTTAAAATTAGTTTTTAATTGAATGCAAATAATTAATTACAGTAAATTAATAAAAAGTCTGGAAAAGGACACAGTCAATAAAGTTCAGTTTTAATTTGAAAAAATAAATAAATAATCAAAATATTCAATTAAAATCGCTACTGAATATAATTTATTAGAACATATGTGATTTGCACTTGTATGAAACTCAAACACGTATTCCGAATATACAAACTAGAAACATGTGGATAAATATTATAAATATGAATACCTATAACTGTTACTTTATTACTAAAAATAAAGATGTGGTTTTTGGTTCTACTACACCAATGGTCAAGAGATGGCGCTGTAGTCTCCTGAATCGCGCTTTGGTTCCGTTGTTCCAGATTATTAAATACTTTTGATAGGCCTTCACAATGCAGTCGTTAGCACCCACTAAATAGAGATTCTATTTCTATTTTGTTGGTAGATTTTCTTAATGTGCGGTAATCACAAAAGTATTGTGTTACAATGATGCGCACGCATCTTAAAATTTCACTCTATGACATTTTTTCATAACGCGCCTAAAGAAGTAGTATAACTTCAAAAACAATGCATTTTTCGGGGAAAGCCCATAGAACTTTTCACACACGTGTATGTATGTCCCATAATGTGTTAAAAGATGAATAAATCTTCTTTATCAGTATTGTAAAATATAAGTAGTTACGTGTTTTTTTATAACTGTAAAAAAATCTGATTTGGTGTTCTTACCATAAGTCCCATATTTATGGAGTTATTCATAAAAAAACGCATGAAAACGTGTTTTTTCTTGTTGAAAAATTTACGTTTCCACTCTTGACTAAGTTGAAAAGAATTGCCTATCGGTGAAAACAAACGTTGCTTAGAATTAGTCAGTGCGTCCATTTCCATTCTTAATATTATTAGTAAAAAAATATGCCCGAGAAGAGGCGGCTTTCTCCCAGGATAAAAAAATCCTCGGCACATTAACAACTGTGAAGTCTCAGTATTAAGTCCAGTCAATGCACAGTTTTCCCCAGCAATTCTACCAAACAGCATCGATTAGCACCAATATTTGGCTGTAGGTTCTACTTACCCTTTACTTCAAAGTTGTCAATGTGCCGATGGCCTATTACCGGCGCGGGACGCCAATCCTTCTCGGGGATGAAAAATATTTATTAAAAAATAAGAATGGAAATGCATAGACTGATTAGTCTTAAAGCAACGTTTGTTATATAGAGTTATTACACATAAGCAACACTTTTCAACTTATTCGAGAGTGGTAACGTCAATTTTTCAACAAGAAAATCCACGCTTCATATGGTTTTTCATGACTCTGTAAATAAGTATTTTGTGAATAAAAAAACATTCGGAGTAACAGCTTGTTAATGGTTGGTTCTTCTTCGTAAAACGTCAAAATCGAAAGTTTCTACTTGAAATATCAGAAAAAACAATGCATTTTTCGGGGAAAACTCATATAACTTTATTTAGAGTGCTTGAAGAAGTCATTTATTTTTGTTTCTTATGGAAGTTCCTAGTATAAAAATTTGACGACAAAAAAATAAGTTTGATCAGTATTGAGACATTAGGTTTGGAAAAAAATGAGATTGAAGTTGAGAGAGGTTTTATGCAAGTTTACAAAAAATTGCCTTTCTTCTAAATAATACAAAGCTTATCGGAATTACACAAAAATTTTAAGAGTTAAGAGTTCAAAATTGCAGATTCATTTCTTTTAAATATTTTGGTTTCTTTTCTTTCTCTATTTGATTAAAATTGAGTAAGATATGGCCGTTCCAAGTTTGCATATGTTCGCAAATAGTAACGGTCTCAAGCTCTTTTAGCTCAAAACTTAAAAATAAAAATAAAACATACACACTTATAGCTTACGAAACCCCTACAAAATGGTTTTCTGTTTTACAACACGTATATTACAATACTGGTAAAGAAGATTCCTTCATATTTTCACACATTATGAGACACACATACACGTGTAAGAAAAGTTTTATGAGTTTTCCAGGATAAATGCATTGTTTTTAGGATAATTCACGTTGAAACTTTACATTTTGGCGTTTGACAAAAAAGAACCAACCTAAGTACTCGTTTAAACCCAGTATTTTGTTTGTTTTATAATTTACAATCATAGTTATTCATGAAAAAATGCCTGTAAACTTTTGTTGAAAATGTGACTTCTCCACTGTCGAAAAAGTCGAAAAATATTGACTTTCACTAAAAGCTGTTTAAAATTAGTCAATAAATTCATTTCCACTTTTTTTTATAAAAAAAACATCTCCATTAAGTGGTGGCGTCCACCCACAGGGAAAAAGCCACCTACGGCACTTTAAATTTGAAGTAGACAGTAATAAGCCAATTGGTGTAAATTGGTGCTGTTTGGAAAAAAATGCCAAATTTTCCTGTTTTTTCCGTGCTACTATGTAGAACCTACAGCCAATTTTGGTGCTAATCGGTGCTGTTTGATAGAATTGCTCAAAAACCGTGCATTGACTGGACTTTTATTACGATAAGGTACTCATGTGACATGTAGAGTCAAATTGTTTTCTTGATTGCCGGAAAAACTATAACAAAGTTGTAGGTAATGAAAGGATCTACGACTTTTGTTTTACACTTTTTTCCCATAACTTAGATAATTATCTGAGGAAAATTAATGTAACAGACTTTTTTTTAATTTTTTTATCTTCCACTTCAAAGCTTTTTTTATAACGTAATTTCTATGAAAATATTATTTTTTCCCCTTGCATGAAAAAACCGAATAAGTAACCTGATTTTAAATAGAAAATCAACCGTCATAAAAGATGTTTTTTAAAAAAAGTTGGTGAGCTTTTTGTTCTGTGTAAACCTTTTCAGCAAACAAAAACATAAATTACTTTAGAAAATTTTCACAGAAAATGCGTCGTCACGTTTCCTTTGTGGGAAAACTACGCCATTTAAAAAAAAACAATGGCAAAATTGTAGGTAAGGGGGCGTCCATAAATTACGTGAGATGTTTAAGGGGGGGAGGGGGTCGAGTCAAATCTCATCTAATCTTACGTTGGAGAGAGGGGGGGTCGAGTCAAATATCACGCAATTTTTTTTCTGATTGAAACAAAAAAAAAATACTATTTTGGTCCATTTAATCCAGATTGTACATGCTTAAAATTTAATCTTAAGCGTAATCGTAATACGATTAAGATCATTTACTATTTCGTTCGAAAGAAATAACTCTCAGCAATATTGATTACTAGTCTTAACTAGTCGTAAATAAAAGCACGAAGCATTTTTTTTTCTTTTAACAATAACAATCCAACGCATTTAAGTGAGAAACCCACATTTTGAAAAATCTCACGTGAGATTGGGGGATGGGGGAGGGGGTTGAAAAAAATCTCACGACATCTCACCAGGGGGGGAGGGACAGAAAATTCAAAAAAACACCTCACGTAATTTATGGACGCCCCCTAAGTAATTAAAACTTCTACAACTTTTGTACTAACACTTTTTTATTATTTTTAATTCGGTTTGTTGTTTTTTGGCAGAAATTTTTAGGTGTCAATACAAAAGTTGTAGATCTTTTAATTACCTACAATTAGGTATGCCACTATTTTTTTTCGATAGGAGTTGTAGTTTTTCCGAAAATCGTGATAAACGTTAAGAATTCGGGAATCATGACTACGCATTTACATTTGCTAAGAAAAAAAATCAGAGTGAGAGAGTGAGGTATATATTTTGTATATCATCAGAAAGTAGCTTTCAAAGTACAAAAAGCGTACCAACTTTATATAAAAAGCAACTTTTTGCCGACTTTCGATTGAAGGTAAGGGTGACTTTTAAATAAAAAGTTAAAATAAATATAATCTATCAAAAAATTTAGAGCGTGTTTGTTATAGAAAGACAAGTTTTCACCAAATTTCGCGAAAAAAAAATTTTGTGAGTAATTAAAAAACCGAAAGTCAGTTATTTTGGATATTTTTAGGTTATTGTAAAAAAATGGGCATACAAAACTTGTTGATTTTAGACAGTAGTTGTAGTTTTTCCGGTATATATTGTGATAAACTCCCCCACCCCGCTCTTAAATGGTCACCCACCACTCTTCCTAACCTGAAATGCTAGTTATTAATTTTCCCACTTTTTTTTAATATTCTCTTCCTTTTGGTATGGATTTCATCCTGTTCCGATTTTTTTTTACTTTTTACGATTTTCAAAGGCATCCTCCCTGATCTAGTTAGAATTCAGATGTGAGGTTTGACAAAACAGTTAAAGTAAACAAGTTACAAAGTAACTATGTATATATGTGTATGTAATATAACTATGTATATAGAAAGGTGTTTACTTGTATGATCTGCTGAGGTAATCTTACGTTACATAGAGTCTGTAGAGTAGCGCACACTCACCGAGTGATTGCTTTACGAATAGTCGCTGAAAATGAAAATAATTACACTTCCAAATACAACTTTATTAATATTCAGGTAAAGTACATTCTCAATTTAAGCGTGATGCAGAATGAAAACAAAGCAGCTTGTCTTTCTTGTTTCAATTTAGCTCTTGTGCAGCTAATATAGAGTAAATTATCGTGTGATAGTAGTTTCAGATAAAAACATTCGAGCGAACGGCCGCAGTAGACGCAGCTGCCCCGCCCCGCGTCCCGCGGTGCTTCCCGCCCCCCCTCACACCATGTCCCGCGCGTGTCGCGGCGTCAAAGAGTAGTGATACAAAGAACGAACAATTTGTTTCATTTATATGCATACAAAATTGGGTTCTCATAGAAGAATAAATATATTTTTTCAGTCGAGTAAATTGTAATCAGATAGTAATTATTTGTACAGTTTATAAATTTTCATATGCTGTTGTATATATATATAATTAGGCTTAAAAAAAGTATTTAGGTAACATTAATCGGTCATTCTCAGCTGATCTGATTTTTCAGCGTCCAGACAAGTATTTACTGTAATATTTTGGAGTTGATTATTTTTTGGGATTAATATATACAACTAATTTGGTAAAACATCATCCAATTTTTTTTCGAAGGTGTTTTTCTAATTTCCATTAGCTGGCCAGTAACCAAAATCACATCTATATATTTTAATTTCTACCTTTAATAGTTCAAAAACAAGCTAATAAGTGAAGTAAAACGTGAAAAAAATATATGAAATACTTAAAAACTGCTTTTTGTTACTATTTTATTATGTTGCAAGATATATAGTGAATGAATTGATTATCGCCGACTCGTCTGATGGTATGATCAAAGTGTCGAGGATGTTTTTTTTGATATTTAATACAACTGGTAAGTGATTCTTTTGGCCATTTACATTTGAACAATCCAAAAGTATATCACATCGTTAATCCAATATTAAATAGTTAATTAAGGTGCCAATTGCCCGTAAGATTACCCAATTATCTAATGTGTTTCGTTCGGTATGTGGCATTTCTTTTTCGTTAACGTAATAATTTGATTCCTAATTGGAGTAAAAGATGTATTTTTAAGTACCTTACTGACAAAACGACAATTTGAAATAAATTATTAAACTTTGACTACTAATGCCTACTTGCCTTTTTGGAAAATAATGGGTATGATATAAATAAATAACATTTATGTTTTCTTCCTGCAAACTCATTTACAGGAAAAAGTGTGAATGAATGCATATCTTTTTTCGCTGTCAGCGTCACTGAAATTCCCGATTGAGTAAGATACAAATTGATCGGAAGGAATCGAAAGTTAGATTCTTTATTCCTCAAGTGAATTTCTTTTCGCAAGTCATGTCAAATATGTCAAGAATAATAAATACAACAAAAGAGGTTCTTGTTAATCCTAAACATAAATTATATATAAAAACACACTCAACTCTAGATACAGGAAAGTATTTTCCGCATAATTTAAATGTTTAGGTCTTATTTCAAATAAACTCACGAATGTAATGAACAATGAATACAATTTAGTAAGTTTTATAACTATAAGGGAAGAGCGTTGATCACTGAATCAATTATGTATCTAGTTCAGAATCAGATGTCTTGAATTGAAATAAAATTATTAACAATATAAGTTAACATATCGTTAGTATTGTGATTGTGATGACATCTAATATTTGTTTTACAAAAGAGAGCTTATCCACACATCTTGTATGATGGGTAACGATAAGAGCTTTCCGTCGGTGTCGTAATCAGTTGGGGACAAGCTGCTCGTGATACTATGTATGTAGTGAAATAAGCTCGTATTTACATTTTCCCGAGTTAGCATCACAGACGCCATGAGTGGATCACGTCATGATACTCCTTGACGCAGACTGTGAGCAATGTCTACGACATAAAGAAATATAACTAAGTTATTATAATAAACAATGGATTTTTATTTTAAAATATCCTATTGTTTATTATTTATATCATATTTTTACCTACTTGTGATTTTAGGCCAATAAATGATTTTTCTTTCTTTCTTCTAATTTGATAACCTCTGTGTACTGAATTAACACGCATCGTAACTTACATCTGATTCAATTGTAGATTTAAAAATTCAATACATTTGTACACTCTACATTCTGTTTATCTTTGCATCTGGTGGGCCACGGTTCGCGCCGCCATTCTGGATATTTTGACGGGAAGGTCGGTCACGTGACACGACGTCGGGCATGGGCGAGGGGCGCGGGGCGCTGGCTAGACTCTCCAGTAGCCGAGCCATCCGTCTGCTGCTTTGACTGCGGCCAGTCGCCGGAATCCACGCCCCAGTCTCACTCGCTCGCGTTTATTACGTACTACTTCGATTCCCATGTGCGGCAATTTTTCTTATTGGAATACACACATAGTCGACAAGTCTGATTCAAACAGTGGTAGTTTAGTGAATATCAAATGAAAAACTACGATGGTTCAGTGACAAAAATAGGATAATTCGTGCATTTTTGCACGGGTTCGTGTGCGGCGACGGGGCGGAGACGCCGCGAAAAGGAGGCGCGCGCTCGGCCGGGCCGTCGCGACGGCTCGGCACAGCACACTCGGCTCTCGGCACTCGGCAGACATGTTTCGATCGCGATTGGAGCGAGTCGCGTGTGCCGGCGCGTAAGCTCGCCCGTGACATGCGCCGCGCGAACTCCCGACACGGTGGGGGTGCGCGACCATGGATGTAGTGACTTCCCATATAAACTCCGTGCTGAAAACTTACCAGGCGAGCGCGCCGCGCAGCCTGCAGGGCCCCGGCAGCGGCCGCGCCGCATCGCGCGCCGACCCGCCGCCGCCGCCACCGCCGCCGCCCGCCGCGCCGCTGATCCTCCTCGCCGCCGACCCCGTGCTCGGCGAGCGCGGCGAGACCCTGCTCGAGGGCGAGCCCATCTCCTGCTTCAGCGTCGGCGGCGAGCGGCGGCTGTGCCTCCCCCAGATCCTCACCTCCGTCCTGACGGACTTCAGCTTGGAGCAGATCAACCGCGTGTGCGACGAGCTGCAGATATATTGTTCGCGGTGCACGCCGGAGCAGCTGCACGAGCTCAAGTCGACAGGGGTGCTGCCTCGCTCGGCGCCGTCGTGCGGGCTGATCACGCATACGGACGCGGAGCGGCTGTGCGCGGCGCTGCTGCACGCACCGGCGGCGTCGAGCCCGCACAAGCTGCCCGGCTTCCGGGTGTACCACGAGTGTTTCGGCGGCGCGCGGGGGGTGTGCGCGCCCGATTTGAACCTAGTGCAGTGCTTGGTGTGCCGGTCGTTGTATACGCCGCGCAAGTTCGTGTGCCACTCGCACGAGGCGGAGCACCGCACGTGCCACTGGGGCTTCGACTCGTCGCGATGGCGCCGGTTCCTCCTGGTGGCCGACGAGGAGCAGGAGAAGGAGAAATGCACGGCGCTGCTGGATGAGCTCGATGCGCGGGAGTCGCCCCCCCTACCGCCTGCGCCCCCCAAACCTCTCAAACGGAAACAGGTAAGCAAACCTCTCTGAATTAAGTATAGAATTTATTAGAAATAGTTAACTCCCACCTTGTTAAAACATGTCAAATTTATCGTCTCTAGATGTAGAGTCGCAAGATGTTTGCTCTATTTCCACTTTTTTAGCAATTAAATAAAATTTTCTTGTTTTCTAATAAGAATCTTGTTAGAAGTTAACGAAACCTTTCTTAGGTAGGTACCTAAAGAAACAACAAAGATTAGACGATGCAGTTGTCATCAGTTGGATACCTAGCTTAAGCACCTCTGTGCCAAACCATTATGTCAGAGGGACATGATATGAAAAAAAAAAACTTCCTCACATACTGGTAATATATAACAAGGTTGAAGACATTCTTGAAGAAAAGAGGGCAAATTTTAAATGAAAATATGAATAAAAGAGGACTTGAGCGAAGACAAACATAATTCCAAATTCGTAAAAAGTTGTAAAATACCTTTTTTCATATCTCAACGAGGCTTTCGTAATGAAACACCCTTGTGGATATTGGTCTAATCGTATTACGCATACACAAAACCAATGAGTGTACTAAATGAAGCTTAACTGATATTTAGATAATATTTAATTAGCTCAGGAATAAGAACGATCAATTGATTGGTAATTAAGATTATTATCATCATTAGTTCCCACTGCTGGGGGACAGGCCTTTCCTAAGTACCTATACTATAGGTTCAAACTTTTTTTTCAGCAAAACGACAGACAAGTTGCGCAGTAGACGTTTTTGTATGTAAAACTGCTACTGCGCAGGCTTTGTCTACGGTAGCATTTCTTGCATGTAAATAAAATTTAGATCAAGGAAGTTCATGGAAAAATTAAGAAACAAATCCTCTTGGTTTCTCCTTTATCTATATAATACTAGCTGACTCGGCGAACTTCGTACCGCCCAAAAGTAATAATTTACAATAAATTAAAATTGCGACTATAATTTGAGATTTAAACTATCCTATCTCTCAAGTTGGATCGAACTGCACATGGTGTGCGAATTTTATTTTAATCGGTTCAGTGGTTTAGGAGTCCATTGAGGACAAACATTGTGACACGAGATTTATATATATTAAGATGTTCCCAATTCATGTGTCCGTTCCTCGATGTGGACGAAAACATAATCCATACAACAATGGTTTGAAAATGTAACACGAAATTCGCAATATTATAGCTAGTGATAGCTCCAGCCGCCAACGAACTCCTTACGCCGGCTACTGTGCCATTTATCCATCTCGGATTCCTTGCTTTTATGTCGAAAGCTAGCATTAGCGCAGCTAAAGGCATCTTAAGTGGCTCTTTTCTTTATTTATTGCCCCTCCTCAGGACCATTATGTTGTTAGAGCAGATATTTCCTCTTTTTCTACAAAATTTTAAATAGCTATCCAGTTCTTTATCCGTACAGGATTTTCTCCTTTTATTTAAAAGAAAATAAGCTTCTTAAGCTTGGAATAGTTACGCAGAATTTTAATCACGTTCATTGACCAAGATTCGCTATGTTACTGAGACTACAAGTACAAGTTTCAAAAGTCTAAATTAAACAACACCATTTGATATTCCAAAAACAAGTGAATAAGGTAAAGTAGATTTTAGTCGAAGCCCCAAAACAGTGATTATAATTTAGATAAATGTTTACAGTTACGTAAAATTTCAAATTCAGTATCCTTAGTACGAGTTTGAGCTCACGAAAACTATCATAGTTTTCGAATTGTAAATTATGTTTCTATGACCATTTTGGTGAAAAGTAATCAAATATACTTAGAATTTATGAAGACGCAAATGATTTAATGATAGAATATAAACACTGTTTATTTGTATTGGAAACGAAAAGAATAAAATCAGTACCCTTAGTACGAGTGTGAGCTCACGAAAACTATCATAGTTTTCGTAATTGTAAAACTCGTACTAAGGGTACAGATCAGTTATAACACAACGACAATTATTGACAAGGTATTGAAAATTCAAAAGACTATTTATGAGATGTTTTTAGCAAAACTCGAAATGTTGAAAACAAATTGCCGCTGAAGATGATGATTTGTAAGCCAGCTTAGCCCTGATTACCTAATCATTAATATGAAAAAGGCTTAAGTACATAATTTTGCAAGAGGCACTATTTTCATATGGATAAAACTGAACCTACCCATGTGTCTAGTCGACGACGCTGGCATTAGTTTTATCATGAATTTATCAAATTGCCCACGAAAATATTTTATCACACGTCAGATAAAAGTAAAGGTTGTTTTTTTGCGAATTTTATCAAGCATTAGAGTGATAAAGTACTTATATCTGTCTTTACTGTTTTTATTACAAGTACGCACTTATCTATTATGTGTAAGTAGGTATGTACTTTGTGAACTGTTAACAAGTTTGTCTCCTACACGTGATACGTGGTTATCTTTTAAATTACTGTGATGATGTTATTAAGCATAACAGAGTTAAAATATTTCTGGATAAATTTTATTATTTCTCAATCTCTTGTCCATTCTGTCCAAACTCATATTACCAATTGAAAAAAGTCATGTCTTTTTCATATTTTACCATTTGCGATTTCAATTGTTTTTCCAATCTGCACTTTTGTATTCCCATTTTCAATCAATCATTTTGTTTCTATAAATTCTAACACGAGGCTAAAACAGCATGTTCTGAGTTCTGATATAGGTATCTTTCTGGAGTTAAGGATAACAGAAAATTTAAGAGGATCATTCTCGGAAAGCTATTACCGATCCCGAGGCATAGCGAGCTCACGACACTTCTCAGAAAACTTAAATGACCCACACGGCCGGCAACGATGTGATCATGTGAATACGAGACTATGCTGTCCTCGCATGCTATGTTGCGAATACCCCCGGGTCACTCTTAAGAAAACTGGATAATGCTCTAAATAGTTTACTGGAAACGATACACAGAATGTAGAGCTACTTTATAGCCCTGGCAAAAGTTTTGAACCTGCAAAGAAAACTCTATGACATCTTAGCTTTATTGACCAGACATTTAAATCGTTATGCGTTAGTTATTAGTTTAAATCGTAGAACAACACGGAAAGGAGTAGCCATAGCGACGTAAGACTATCCAAATCATTCTGCCATTTTTTGCGGGGGGGAACCCCCCGAAATGCACACAAATGCTGTTTAACGTACATGCGTAAGAAACAAAACTGTAGCTACAACACCCACACATAAACAATGACACAATGCACCACCAAATCGTGCACACACATATCGTGAGTATGCCCAATTCTTATGCCCAATGCGACAGAGGAGAAAGCTTTGTATGCCTCTCCTCCTGGCCGAGTTGGCCGTGTTGCTCTATGGTTTAAATAGATCGAACCAAATTTCGAATATCACCATCGATTGAAAGATCTGTTATTAACTATATTTTTGTCTTCATATAAACGAGGATTGTTTGAAATTTGACGGTCCCATTCCATATCGTTGGAAAACAAAATGAAAACATTATTTGACGCAAAATTCGGGCCTCCTGCGAAAACATTAAAAAAATCGCAAGATGATTGTCTTTCAAGACATTCCAAGGATTTCCGTAAGTTTCTCTCATAGCGAAGAGATGAGAAATAGTCATGGGTAAAAAATTCATAATATTCATGTGTCCTCTGGGAAAATATTTGGCTTCGCCATTTCCGTTGGGAAACAGATGATAAATTAACTTTTGGTCAAAGGCCAATAGGCATCGAATGCGATAAATATGACAGTCGTAACGCCTCTATATGAAACAGAGAACCGGATGTTTACTTCGCTGTAATGAAATAAAGAGGTAATTCTAAACTCGCTCAAATGTTGGATGGAAACTTGAACAGCAGCGCCACAACGGACGTAACGAAAACTTAAAATCAGTACACATTTGACAGTGACATTTCGCACTCGCAAACTATTCGTATTCGCTATTGGTACGGACTAAGGTGAAACGGTGATACGTAAATAAATAACATTGTAAAAACGATTAGTTTTCACGATGATTACTCTTTTGATCTCATAAACATAATAAAACAATACAGTCACGTAGAGAAAAAAAATGGTATGGTTTTTTAAAATCACATTGCAAGTGAAATTTTTTGTGTTTTACATCACCTCAAATGTTTGGAGATATAATATGAGATAATACAGGCCAGGTACTTAGAATTATTTAGTTGATGTTACACTGGCTTATAAAAGTGTAAAAAAAGATATCTCTTTGACTGGGAATCGAACCCGGGCCGCCCGAGTAGCATTCGAGCTTTCTACCAATGAACTACTTACATAAGCTTGTCGAACGCTTTTAATAAAAGTTTCACTTTAAAAATATACAATAATATCCTGTACCCACCCAATACAAAAACACCCTGTCTAGTCTAAGGTCTAATAGCTAAATAATAATAATCCTATTTAAGTCGATAGGATAACCCGATCATTATGGAAAACAATTTTTTTGTTATTTTAGTAATCCATTCTGTTTGCGATAATTAGATATGACGTTAGGTACTACGACGTTAGCGATAAAATAACTATTACGTATTTATTTTATCTAGATTATGTGCCTATAGCAGAGGTTTTATCTTCTGAGTGCAAGTTCGTACGATCGAAATTCACACTATTCACGCATACGTTTTACATTTGGACAACACCTTGAAGAATGATAAACTCACAATACCCCACCATTCCACCTTCCCAGCGGGCCATTCGCCTAACAGAAATGCTTTGGAAAACGCTAACGCTTACGATTTTATTTTGTTATTTCTAGCCGCCTGAGATTTTCAAATGCCTCGCGCTCTTTTTTTTCTTTTGCATTGGTAATAACAATATTTAAAAAAAATGAGCGTAAGGTATTTGAAAACCTTCGGCGGTCAGAAATAAGAAAATAAAATCGAAAGCGTTAGCGTTTTCCTAAGCATTTTCTTTAGGTGAATGGCCCCCTGGACAGACGCAAGGTGCCGATCCCATATGCTCGTGTAAAAACTCCTTCACGTCTCTGAAGAATCTCATGATGTTATTCTTTTAGAAGACCAG